GCGACCAGCGAAGTTCTCAATCGCTTGTAAGGGTCACTTTGCCCGTCACTTGGCTGATTACCATAAAACAGGCTTTTCATGATATTATTTAAATTTGAATTTTCACTAATTAGTGATCCGAGAGGTCATCCGTTTTAGTTATATAGTGGAAGCGTGACAGGCAGCACGAACCCTGACACCCTGCTGGTCGCTGAGGACCTCGGACGCGGGCGCGGCGAGTGACAGGCGTCGTTGCCCTTGGCTTCAGCGAACGGCAGGCGCCCCTCCCCGGGTTTCCTCACAACGGTACCAACTGCCAAAAGCCCTGAACCGATGTGTCCCTCCTACTTCTAGCCTACACCGACCTAGACCGGACTGACTGACCGACCGGTACCGTATCTGTTTCGGCCTCTCGGCCTCTACCGCACCCGGCCATAGGCTATAGGACCATCTATACGGATAGGCCCTTCGGGCCTGTCTGTACTACTGGTAGTCCGGGCCTGCTAAACGCAGTTAGGTAGCTGTAGGGAATCCGGTTTGTACCGGGCCTGTATTTTCCCGGGTTTGCAGATATGTCCCTCACGATTTTCCCTCACAGGCAGGTCTCTCGGTTAGCCCTCAGCCAAACAAAATTACGAATCTGTCCTACCTATAGTACAGCCTCGACAGAGAGAGGCTACAGGCGACCAGAAAACAGCAAGTCATTGCAGACCTACCCTCCCTCGGAGCGAGGACCTCCGAGCTAGGGGCGTAGGCGTGCAGAGCGCCGAAAGGATACACCCTTCTGTGCTATCTCATATCTGAGGATGACAGACTTGGCTGTCTTCAGGAGTTCCTTGCGAGTAAACCAGCGATCTTCAGTGTGTGGCTGGTATAGAAACTTCACAAGATACTCCTTACCTGGACCTGTCCCTGACTCATCCTCCACAGATTCGACCTCATACCCTTTGCCAGGGATAGGAGGACCGAATTGTGGGGGCCTGTCTGGGAATGCATCAGCTGGCGTGAATGGCAACAGCTTAGATGCATGAAAGAGAGGGTAGGTTTGTAGATGCAGAGGGACGTCCACAATATAGGACGGTCCGAACGGATCAGCTCCCACTGTATCTAAGACCTGCCATGGACCCATATATCGTGGCAGCAGCTTAGGCGAGATGTCCTCCTCTCGTGACAGCTCAGAACTGAGTACCCACACCCAGTCACCTGTGCGAATCGTAGAAGGACGTCTGTGCTTATTAGCTTGTTGAATCATAGCCTTTTGGGCTTTCAACAGGTTAGCACGGGCACGTTCTATGTCCACACCGTAACGTCTGGTGAACTCTGCAGTCCCACGCGCCAGCGTCGGGGTAGCCTTGTCGATGATATCATCGAGAGGTTGCCGTGGCTCACGACCCCAGTGCAACCGGTAGGGTGTAAAACCAGTAGAGGAGTGTACAAACGTGTTATACACAAGCTGTGCACAACTCAGATGGAGATCCCAGTCCTGCTGATCTGGACTGATCACAGGACGCAGCAATTGGAACAGAATCTGCTTCATCACTTCAGCCTGACCATTGGCTTCAGGATGACGACCATATGTCATGTCCAACCTCGAATGAAGGTAATCCCTGCAGTAGGATTGCCATTCATTGCTGCAAAACCGGGGATCTCTGTCACTGACAATGGAGGTGGGTGGTCCATGATGTGTGACCCACCTGTCAGCAAAAGCCGCCTGAATGGCTGGCACACGAGCCTCAGCTGGTAAGGGGATGAACTCTGCATATTTGGAGAACCGATCCACACATACCATGACCTGACTCATACCTCGTGGTGTAGTCCTACCCAAGTCGGTGAAATCAATCGATACTGACTGTGCAGGAGCATCAGGAATAGGTAGGGGTTTGAGTAGGCCAAGAGGAGGTCGGCGTACAACCTTGTTCTTTTGGCATAACTCACAAGTTTCCACATAGTGCAGCATGTCACTCCTCATCGCCTTCCAGAAGAAGCGCTGCGACAGGGCTGCATAAGATTTGAGGGCACCAAAGTGACCACGAGTGTCATGACACTCTGACATCAGAAGTGTCCTCAGCTTGCGGTCCTGGGGAATGCACAGGCGCTCCTCGCCTCTGTTGCATGTATACAGCAAGCCTGAGATCAGGGAATATCCTGGTTCAGAGGCAGGGTCGTCCTGGAGATTCCTCACAATAGGCCCAAAGATCTCATCCTGGGGCAGCAATTGGGCAATGGTCTGACGAGTCCTCTCTCCAAACGAGTGCGTAAAGGAGATCAGGAAATGAGCGTCAGGCCTACGAGAAAGGGCATCTGCGACTCTATTGTAGCAGCCCTTCTTGTGTCTCAGTTCAAAGTCAAACATGTCAATGAACTGGATGTAGCGATCAAGCTTGTCATTCAGCTCTTCCTGGGACTTCATCCACTGGAGGGTGGAATGATCTCAGAAGATCTTGAAGTGTCGGCCCAGGAGAAAGTGTTTCTAATGCTTGAGCGCTGACACAAGAGCATATAGCTCTTTCTCATAGGTGGAATCCTGTAGCTTCTTAGTCTTGATCTTCTTGCTCATGTATTCGATAGGCTGCAGACCATTCCCATCGTCCTGCTGAAGTACCGCCCCTACACCATACTGGCTAGCATCTGTAGTTAGTACAAAAGGTAAGGTAGGGTCAGGTAACTTCAGAACAGGGGCATGAATCAAGGCCTCCTTGAGACGTGTAAAGGCCTCCTGACACTCTGACGTCCAAAGAAAGGAAGTGTCTTTCTTTGTAAGATCAGTCAGGGGTGCTGCAATCACTGAGAAGTTCTTAATGAACTTCCTGTAGTAGGATGCAAGCCCCAAGAAAGACCGGACATCACGAATGTTAGCAGGTCGCGGCCAGTCCTGAACTGCAGCAACTTTCGTTGCCTCAGGAGCCAACCCCTCTCCAGAAATCACGTGTCCCAGATAGATTACAGAGGGAACTCCAAAAGAGGATTTCTCCCTGTTGATCTTATACTGGTTAGTACGTAAGGCCTGGAGGACCAGAGCCAGATGTTGCGCATGCTCCTGGACAGAACGACTGAATACCAAGATGTTATCCAGGTAGACAACTACGAACTTGTCCAGGTAAGGCCTCAGTATGCGGTGCATCTCTGTTTGGAAGGTGCCTGGCGCGTTGCAAAGACCGAATGGCATAACCAGGTACTCGTAAGTCCCATACCTAGTTTTGAAGACTGTCTTGTGGACATCGCCTTCAACCATCTCAATCTCGTGGTAACCAGATTTGAGGTCAATCTTGCTGAAAATAGTACAACCCTGCACCATATCCAACAGATCATCAATACGAGGAAGAGGCTCTGTAGACTTCCTCGTGATCTTGTTGAGACCACGGTAGTCCACGCACATCCTGAACTCACCATTCCCCTTTGGAACAAAGAGGACTGGTGCCCCAAACTCAGATGTGCTAGGTCTGATCCAACCCTTGCTGGTCAGGATCTCTAACTGTTTTTAGAGCTCTTCAAGTTCAGCAGGAGACATCCTGTAGACCCGGCCCTTGGGAGGGACCGAGCTAGGCAGGATCTCAATCTTATGTTTGGTCTGCCTGTGGACAAGTCCAGTAGGCTCCTCCATAAGATCTGAGGAACGGTCTACAACCTGCTGAATCTGAGAGGGACAGGGAGCAGTCTCCACGTCAGTTTGTTTGACATAAGCCACAAACAGCCGAGCATGGTCAGTCTGGCATGAAAAACGCAAAAACTTGCGAGCACTCATGCAATAACAGCTGCTGGCCGGATGGTACTTGTCAGCAAGCACGCAAGGGCGATAGACCCCATGCCGGTCAGGCAGCTCAACCCTAGGGATCCGCCAGTCAATCCTAGGGTTGGTGGCACCAAGCCACTGCATGGAGAAGACAAGGTCAAAGGGAACATCAGGAAACACATGGAAGTTCAGGCGGTGCCCGACTTCCCCCTGCTTGTCAAAGGACACAGGTAGGCCCTTGACAACAGTGGTAATCCTGACTGTGGAAGAGTCCCCAATACGGACCTCCAATGGCTGTCGCAATTTCACCAACCTCTGGTCCAAGTGCAGTTTGCTGACTGCCTTGGGGGAGATGAAGTTGCGAGTAGCCCCACAGTCCAAGAGCCCTTTGATCTTGGCTCCCAAGATGTAGGGTTGAAGCAGGATGAGTTCAGACTTGTGCTTCTTCTTCTCCTGCAAGGACAATAAAAGATCAGCAATAGTCTGAGCATCGTCCTCCTCCCACGTCTCATCCAGTTCAGAGTCTTCAAAAGTGAAAGACCCTTCCAATGTAACTCTAGAAATAAAAGTATCAGCGAGAGAATGTGAAGATTCACCTCCATCAGAGAGGGAATCAACACTGGTGGAAGAAGCTGCTGCTTCCACCTCTCTCTGCTCTAGTTTTTTGAACTAGAGCTGCCTACAGATCTACGAGGCATACTGGGACAATCCTTGAGAAAGTGGTCCCCCTCGCATCTCAGGTAGACCCCCTTATCCTCCCTCTTCCTCCAAAGTCCCTCCTGGATCCTGAGTGCATGCCAGGGGAAGTGGAAGGATCAAGTGGGTCAGCTGGCCAGCGGACGTCTCGTGGTAGAGGTACTCTCTGGGCCCCAGGGGAAGAGGCACGTTCCTTCCCTTTCCCCTGGCGGCTGGTTGATGCTTTCTGGGTTGGGACCTTTCCCTTTGCCAGGCCCATCAAAGCATCAGCCAGGGCAAGAACAGGATCTGCAGCTGATGATGATGCAGTCCCAGGTGGAGGGCTCCCACCCTGGGATGCTGCGTCACTATCAGAACCAGACGCTGCAGCAGCAAACAGGGCGCCCTTCCTCCTCCTTCGCCCTTTGGAGGAGGGCCCCTTCCTTCCTTCAGAAGATGCTTCCTGGACATGCAGCTTGGACTCCAAGTCCAGGGCTGCTCTGCCAAAGGACCTCCAGTCCTTGTGGCCCTGAGAGAAGAGAGCAAGCTGGAATTGCTCAGGCGCTGCCCTCAGGAAATGAATGAGCAGATCCTGCTCACTCATCTCCAACCCTGGAGTCGATGTCAGACTCTCAAAGGTGGAATACAGTTTGGACAAGGAGCCATCAAACTTTTTCTGGCCCAGGCGCAAAATTTTATCTGCAGCCTTTCTTGCCTGCTCCTTGTCTGCAAACCGGTCCTGCAGGGCCTGCAGAAATCCAGCCACCCCCAACCTCTGCGCCCAATCAGCCATCTCCATCCCCTGCTTGCTGGAGGTGGAAGTGCACCATTTTAGTGCAGTCCTCTCCAGCCGTGCCAGGATGGTTGACACCTTCACATCCTCGTCACATTTGAACCCACTCAGGTAGGTTCGCTGCGCAGTGACCCAATCTGCCACATCCACCTTAGGATCTTCTCCTGAGAACATTGGTGGAGGGGTCAGCTTGGGCCGTTGCGGCTCAAATGGGGCTGAGGACTGAGAAGGTGCTGGTGACTTGGGTGTAAGAGGTGGGGATGTAGGTCTAGAGTGTGGGGGTTTTGGGACAGGTGTTGCAGAAGGGCCAAAGGAAGAGGGAACAGTCTGAACAGGAGTAACCTGCAGCTGCTTGGCAATGTTGCTCAGCTGAGCAGAGATGTCATCCAGCTTCTTTGACAAAGCTGAGTGACTGGTCTCCAGACCTGAGATTCGGTCATCCCAGTTAGTAAAGTAGGACCGGTGAATCTCATCCTGCAGAAGGATGAATTCTGCCATGTCCTTACTTGCCTGACTGGTCGTACCGAGGCTCATAATCCTCTGCATATCTCCAATCAACACTTTTCTTCTGGCCTCTTCCTGGGCATACTCTTCCTTCCTCTTGAACTCTGCCTTTAGGTTCTCAACTGTCTGGGTCTGCAAGCAGAGTTTCTCCTCTTGGTCCCGCAGTTCAGCCTCTAAAGGGTCAGGCGGTACAGGTGTTACAGGCTGCAATTTCATCTCGAGCTTTACCTGGGGTGTCTCCCCAGAACTCTCAACTCCCTCAGCCTTCCCTGACTCCGACATATTGCACCCCACAATACAGACAAATAAACAAACAACAAATAACAATCAAAGATCAGACAGGAGGTAACAGGAGTTGGATGTTCCCTGCAGTAGTAATCCAATTGCTGTCACCTGCCTGGAGAGAGAAGATTGGTTAATCTGAGCAAGTGAGTGCCCAGTCTTAGCAGACCGCTTGAGGGTCAGGGTCAGTTCAGAGTCTACTCAGGCAAAAACCAATTTCGCGATTTTTCCATCCCTGCCCTGACACAACAATTGCACGCAATAATTGCGACTCCTGACTCAACAACTGACAGGATGCAGTCTTGGACTAATTAGTGTTGATTAGTAATCAGACAGAGTGACCAATTAGGGTTAGATAGGTATCTACTGATGACCAGGATGCAGCGATTTACACAATAACCTATTTTTGGACCTACCCTGTTGACATCAACACTGTATGACCCTGGATGCCATACTGGGGGTATGGCGGATTACAGCAAACACTGTAACTGACTCAAAACTTCAAATCTGACTATGCGATTTCAGACACTGCTAAAATATTGAATTGTGATTTACCAGGGACTGACAGAACTGAATTCTGACGGTCAGAATCAAAGTTATGACTGACCCTAGTCTACCATAGCTTTGGCTATGTTAGCGCATAATTCAAATTTGCAGTATCACTGACAATTTGGCCCTGAACAATCCAATTCACAGTATAATATGAATCGCAATACTGTATAGCAATAGCAGATGAAATTTGGGTCAGAGGGGAGGTCAAACAGGGTTAGTGGAGGTCACAGAAGATAGGTAGGAGAAGTTGGCTATGGCTGTCCCACAGTCTGAATTTCGATTTTCAACTGTCACCTGACAGACAGACCAAATTCCTCTATTCTAAAAATAGCCCCAGAATCGCCACACAGGATAGAGTAAGGAACACACTCACTTCAGGGTCAACTCTGAAGAAGATGCATGAAATCTTGGCTATGGCTGCATAGTCAACCCTGTCTCGCTAGTTTCACCTCCTGATAGTATACAGTGTTCCCACGTACAGAATTCTTCCAAACTTGGTGATCCAGTAGAATTCCCTGAGGCGCTTCACCCCCAACTGACAGATTCAACGAATTTAGTCTCCCAGGTGCTGATAACTGCTCCAAACAGTATAGCACCACATCACCCTGCACAGCGCTGATTGGAAATTGGGGATCTTGACCCAATTCCAAAATCGCAACCTCCTGGGATCACTTCCCTGACAATCGCCAACCTCCAGGTGAATCGCCAGGCTATAATTAGCCTCCTAGAGCCTTCTGGGCCTCTGGATTATCAATCGCCACTCACTCTTGCATAACCCTAGCCAGGAGTGTGTCACCCTCTGCCTGTTGCTTCTCGCCACACACTCACAACCACCACCCTACTGACAACAACGCTAAAGATGATGAACCGCCATGAAACTCAACTCCAGTATCTCGCCAGATGATGATAGGTGCTCCAACTCATCAATCGCTCCAGAGTCTGGATCCAATAGCTCCGATACCAACTGTTATGATTCTGGTTGTTCGTTGCCTGAAGGTCAACACTCACTCACAAAGACTTCTGCACATGCCCATACACACACAGAAGGAAGGGGAGAGGATCGGAGTATCACACCGCACAGGGAGAGAGAAACACACTGGATGACTTGACCATGCGATATGACAGGGTACACTGAAAGTGCAATACACTCCACTCAATCCTCACAACCAGTCATAGAGAAAAGTCGAGCAGATCACATCCAGGAAATAATGAAACGATGATAGTCCAAACACAGTTATACACTGTTTATTAAACTCAGAGTCTCAAAATGTCAGGATCAATCCAGAACTACAGTGCGCTGCTCAGAATTGAGCAGCGCTTCACTCTCCAACCCTGATAAACACCCGTAACACCCCCTGAGCCCTGAAACATCAAGCGCCACCCAAATACGGCCTCCTGGGGGTAGCGCCACCCTGAAACAGGCCTCTGAGGCCAAGCGCCACTCAGAGGATGAAGAAGAAGACCAGCACCACAGTATCTGATGATGACGAAGTGTCGGGAGGCTTCCCGGGTGGAAGCCTGCAGCAGCGGCACCAAATCCTGACTAGATGACCTCTGAGATGAAGAGGCTGCAGCGCAAACCCTCTAGGACCCCACTCCGGAGGAGGATCCAGCAGGGCACCAATCCCTCTCGCCTCCAGCAGACCTCGATAACCCAGACCTCTGTCAGCCCCTACGTGCTGGCAGAGTACAGCGCAGGTCCCAACTATGGCCTGTGCTCCCAAGGTCTGGCTATGCCCGTCTCCTTCCACGTTGAGCCGTCACCACTTCCGGTTCACACGCAGCGCAGCAGCGATGTACACGGTGTTAGGAAACCCGGGGAGGGGTCATCTGTCTGCTGCTGAAGCCAGGGACAGCGGCGTCTGTCACCCGCCGTGCCCGCTTCAGAGGTCCTCAGCGGCGGAACAGGGAGTGGGTTTCGTATTGCCCGTCACACCCCACC